GGTTATAATTAGATAAAAGTTTTTTTTAATGAGCGATTCGATATCATCGAATTGATAAAATGAATTAGAAAAAAATATAGTTGCAGTGATTATTAACAGATGTCACTATCAGCCGAAACTCTGAATTATTTATGCAGATTTTCTGAATAAATTTTGCGAACAAATTACGATTTGGTTATAAAATAGTCGAATTTTTTTTTAAACATTCCACCATTACTATAGGCTCGCTCCCTCCATTGGTTATAAGAGTGAGCTTTTACAAATCGCTGAATTCGATGTCATAGCACTACCTGTGAACAATAAAAACCACTCTTTTTCATATAGTCCAAGTATACATATACATTGCTGGGCCATACAAAATAATTGTATTTCATAACTGCTAATCAATTCATATTCAAGCCTTGATTGGCCTTCTCTCTTTTGATTTCATTTACCTCAGGGCCAAGCGATATTAACGCAGGTGTATTTCAGCGGAGGTGGCTTCAATTATGTTAGATTATATCCACTCGATAAGCACATAAAATATACCTAAGACGAGAATGATCGAAGGTAGAATTTCCCAATATTTTCCACTCTCTTTGGCCATATATATTGCTATAGTTATCGAGCACTTTTTCAACCCGTAATGAATTGACAAAATTGGCTATTTCATTAGTGCCTACTATGTAAGCTAAAAAGACTTTCGTCTTGTTCACATTCATCCTGATTTTTATAGCATTTGTCGATATACCACCGTTTATTTTTTCATAATTATCGATAAAAAAGATTTATTAGATTTACAACATTCAGCGTATTCACATTATTGTCAGTGCAAATCTATCGCAAAGTTGAATATTGTAGGCGAAGAATAATCATCATTTTAGAAGGACACATCGATGGCTTAATGAATTTGTCTCATTTCCTCAGTTTGGTTTAAAATCTGCAGATTCAAATAGAATCTCGTTCTCGATCCACGATTTCGCGATAGCTTTTGCATTCGGTGCTCAGTAAAATTGTTCTCGACAAACTGGAGCGCTGGCCGAATATCGTTGGACATTGTTGGCACTAAGCCACTGATGCACCACACTTATGAAATGAATTGTGAATGATTGGATTGCAGAAGGTTTTTCTCATCATTTAAATGACTAACTCATTTTTCATGAAAAAAAAAATAAAGTTAATAGTTTTAGCTTTAATTTAGTTGAATGGCCTTAAAAAACAACTTGAGTAAATGGCTTAAAGCTAATTTTTAAATTAAAAAATAACTTTAATTAATGGTAATAGATGGGAAGAATTATTATTTTTTGATTGACATTTCTGCAACTCCAGAATACTGGGGAAAGATAAGGAAAAAAGCAACAAGTGAAAATCTTATCACAGTCTCAAAACTCTTATCAACGTTATCATTATTTGATGGCAGTTAATAATAAACCTCGAATGAAATCGTAAAAATTTATATAGTGGTTTCACTAAAGTTCTTTTCTTCTTTTTCTAATAGCTCGCATCATTGCTGGCTTGGGCAATTTCCAATCTGATGATGTCCTGGAACCAAATGAAGTTGCTCCTTTTTTCATCCTTCAGGCTCATATATTACTGGACTGTTTATGCATTCAAAATCTTCTCTGAAAGAATAAGAGAAAAGAGTATTTTGATTGGTCCTCCCCGCTTTTAATCCATGAAGAGGAACATGGAACCAAACTAGCGATTATGCATACTACACTTAGATACATGCGAATTTTCATTTTGAGGAAATAATTTAGCGGCTGTTCTAGAGGGCTTCACGAAAGGACATTGTCGCTAGAATTTCACCTGACTATTAAGCATGAAAATGGATCGGTATCTTGAAGAAATGATGAATCTATAAAAAGTGTGATCTTATCAATTTCATTTGAAATTATCAATTATCAATTTCATTGGTTATTTACATTTGAAATTTTCATTGTTGCTGCCGATACTCTATCCAGGTCATCGTAATCCAGGTTATCAATAAAAAGGACCATATCATCAGCGTATTCATGATTTCTATGCTCTGGGCTGATTTTTACACCTCATGAATACCGATAACCAAGCATATCGCACAATTGAAAATTGTATGGAACATAGTTTTGATACACACACACTGGTACCTATTTCAAAAAGTTGTGTCAATTCGCCACACGCATAAACCTGCATTGTCGCCAAGAAAATGCAATAATAATTTTGATTATCCTTTCATTGAAAAATTTAAAAAGTAGAAAAGAATTTGTAAATTTTTTGTACAAATTTAATATTTTTCATTTTTTTCTCTAATTGGAATAAATTTTGTGTGAAGTTAAATAAAATAAATAAAACAATGATAAAATTGAAATTATAAAACTTTTTGTTTCTCATCTCAAAAAAAATCACAAATTCGTTGATCAAAAGAACTGAGCGAAGTTCTTTTTCAGGTCATTTGGAAAAAATATAATGGTTTTTTTTTTAGCTCCACATTATTCATCCATATTAACCATAATCGACCGTAATCGCCGTGGTTTATTGGATATATCAACATAATTGCACTGAATTCAGCTATTTGAGTTGATTTCAATTTCAGTTGATTTTCTCAATGGTACCAAATGGTACGAAAATTTTCAATTCCGATTATTTACAGGAAAAGCGTTAAAGAAACAATTATGAATAAAGAGAATTTTTTCTCATTTTTTTTTGAGGACTTTCCTGTTTTTTTATTTCGGTTTATTCATATTTTTTCAGATTTTTATTTTAAGAAGAAAAGTTTTCTTAAATTCGGCCAATCAAATTTTATTTTGGAATTATATTAGCAAAGAATTCTTCAAGAAATATAAATCATTTTGAAAAACGATATTTTAGTCTCTGATGATGTCGCTGATAACGCTCTTATCAATTATTACTTCAGTGTTTTTTTAAAAGAAAATGTCGTTTCTAATTATCACTTAATAATTTGAATTAATTATCTTTAAATGATATTGTTATCGAATTATTAGACATTTATAGAAATTAAGATTAAAACATCATTTGGTATTGGACCTAATAAAATATAAAGAAACAAACAAAATACAAATAATAAAATATAAATAATAAAAGAATAACAAAAATAAAACAAAAATTTAGGATATAAAAAATAGTAAAAAGTAGCAAATATAAAAAAACAGCTCCTCTGGTATCCTTATTTGTTAATCTATAAAGATATTTAAAATTCCTTTTCTAATTCTAAAATCTCTAATTTATCTCATATCACTCCTATTTTAAGAAGGATAATAGGTAATTATCCTTCATTCCGATCATTGTTCCTTTAATATATTAATATATTATCCTTTAATATATTAATACGTAGCCAAATTTTGCAATAGGCTATAAGATTATTTTAATGCAAATAATTTTATTTTTGATTTTCAACATGGTGCCTGCAAAAAGAAATCCACTGCGAACCAATCACTGCCATTTATCATCCTCTATGAGTCATGGCCAAATCTGCCTTGAAACTTATGGTAAGTTGTTGAAACTATGAATATTGACATTGGTGAGAATCTTATTAAGTGGTTTTTCAATTTGAATGCTTTCAATCTTATTCTTTTTCATAGAAAACATTCGAGTGAATTACTTCAATAACATGTGAGATTTTGGTTTGATTGTTGATAATAACCATAACAATAAACACTAAGCTTCGGGCACGTTCTTCGCCACCCATTTCAGGAGTATTTTTCGTTACTGTGGTGTTAAAAGCGAGAAGAGGCAATAAAGACATGGACTGGTAGTCATGAAAAATTTTGAAAATATAAATGAACCAGCTATATATGGACTTAGTTTATGGAAAAAAGAATGGCTTCTATTATTGCAGACAATGGCTTCGGATAGCTTGAAAATATCTTATTCTAAATATATATATATATATATATATAAGTTGCATTCTTGCATGCATTCTTGTATTGGTTTAATTTGCATGAAATATTGTGAGTTAAATTCGAATAACATACTATGGGCAATATAATGGAGAATTATTCTTACCGAAGTGGAATTCCATTAGCATCGACAATCCAGAAAGGCTGAGCCTTTCTACTTCCCTCTCAGTGGATGAAATGCAATCGAATCTCATTCAATCGAAATATTCTCAAATATCGAACTAAACTAATAAAGCACCTTTTTTTACTTTTTAATGCAAAAGTCTAATTTTTAAAAAATTTTATTAATGATAAATGAGACAGTAAAAGAGGAAGCGAAATCAGCTTTCTTGCAAAATTCATAAACAAAATGTTTAATTTTAAATAAATTAAATATTTTAAATATTTTTTCTTCTTTTTGCTTTTTTTCATATTGTTTTGATAAAAAAAAAACTTTTTTTATTAAATTTAGCATATTTAATTGATTCATATTTTTTTTTATGCAACAAAAATTAAAATAAAAATATAAAAGAATATATTTTGAGAAAGGAAAAGCAAAAATGAAAATTTTAAATTTTTAAATTTTTAAAATAAAAATAAAATACAATTAAAATTAATATTAAGTATACTATTCATTAAAATTGATATAATGAAAAACTGTAATAATCAGCGACGATAAAAATAAATGTATTCTGAAGAAATCATCGAATCGAAAAGTCAACAATGAAAAAAAATCCGAAGAATCTTTAACATATTTAGAATATTATTATTAACATTAAATATAAAAAAGTCAGATATGTGGTACTTAAGCGTAAGAGAATTTGTTAAGAATTTTGCATGTTCCTTTGAAAATATAGCACTGAAACCGGCCGAAATTCAACTCCTAACAGCTAAAAAAAAGACTAAAAACTTTCAAAACTTACAGTTCTTTCCAAAATGAACGGCTATTTTCATCGTTATTTGCAGAAAACTACAAAAATTAAAACCTTACTGACTATATTTTAGATCTCTTAGACATAAATAAATGAGAAAAAAAACAAACAATTATATATGAAAAATTCAAAATAAAAAAGTGATGTGCCCTAAAAGTGAATACGAGAAAAGAGAAAGATGAGAAAAGAGGGAAACTTTCCAGAATCGCCTCATTCATCTGAATTCATTTTCCGGATAGCAAATTACTGGAACAGGAACCGATTGAAAAGCATTACTTGTATCTAACGAACGATTTTTCAATAGAACACTTTGTTTTTGCTGGCACAGTTCACTTGATACACAATTCTTATCTTCAAATTTCGGGTCGATGCGAGCAAATTCACGAAAAATTCGATCTGTTTTAGAATCTATGCTATAATCGCGTTGTAGAATATTTTTTCGCATATAACTAGTGCTCACCGAGCGATTTACCGGGTAACTAGTTGCCTTTATACTTTTATACTGCGAATCAAATGAACTCGAATTCGCTTGCAAACTCCTAAAATTGTAAATTGCGAATTTTGCTTATATAATAAATAATAAACGATTGGGCGAATCGACTACGCTAATCAGGTTATCAATCCTTATTTATCGCATTCACTTACTATTTTTATTTATCAGATCGCAAATATCAGGAGTGATAAAAAGAGGGGACTTTTTTTTAGGGAAATAGTTATTAAACAAGTTTTTTGAGTTGGTACCTGCTATTTAATAATTTCAAATGACTGAAATTACCTTTCTGTAACTCGAGAACTATCTTCTGAAGCATAACGATCTGAAAAAAGGCCAATAATGAAATTCCTTTCAAATATTTGATTTGTTTTTAAAATTTAGGTATTTTATTTACACAATTCCCTACACCACAAAATAATAGCAATCTGAGATTAAATAAAAAAGAAAAATAAATAAAATTTGAATATTTGAAAATATTTGCAAAATATTCATAGCAGTGTTAGTTTATTAGAAAATATTTTTATCATAGTTTTTTATTTTATCAAAATCAATACACTGGTTAGTTTTTAATATTTTGATATTGATATGATATGATAATAAAGTTGTTGCCATAAAACAATTATTCCAATCTTATCTTCTTATTTCTCTTATTCTCTTAATTACGATTAGTTAAAATTATAAATGAAATGCGGATGGTAATTTTTTTTTCTTATTTTAGATTTTATCATATTTGAAATGTTAATTTTTATTTTTATAAAGCATATCTCGAAAAACTTTAATTTGCCTGAAACGAGTAAGTGAACTAATGATTTTATTTCTAAAATATATAAATTTAATAAAGAATTAGTCAAATTTTGTTAGAGAATTAGTCAAATCTAAATTTAATTAAAATTTGGTCAGTTATTTGCCTTATTTATTATTGCAAGCATATGAGCCAAGAGACCTAATTGTTCGGACTTAGTAGAATCCATCGAAATACCGATATTCACAGCTAAGGAATCAGCGACACTCGATTCGCTAGAAAGCGCACTTTCAAAAGAGTTTACTGGCTGTTGGAAACTTTGATTTTTTGATCGCCTCACAAGTGCCAAGTTCCTTAAAAAATGCTATACAAAAGATGGCTGAAGAAGCCGAACGTTTCCCAGAAAATTAGAAGTAAGCCTTAGAATTTAGTATAGGACCAATCACCAAAGCTTACTTATATTTTCTTCGCTTCAATTCGGCAGAACTCGGTAACTCAAGGAAGCTATGATTATTTAAAGGTATTAGTGGTCGTTCATATAATGGTTCCGTATTTGATTCAAAAGAGGTGGATGCCGATTGATCTGTTGATAAATCTGTAGAAAGTTGATCGCATAAATTTGCATTTACTTCAAGAATTTTACGACTTGCCCAAAGATTAAGGCATTCTTGACTCATTTCATCCTGTAAAATCATTCATTATCAATGATAAATAATTAATAACTATAATTACTTTTTTATGCAACTTTTTATGAATTAATTGATTTCTTTGGTCAGGATTTTTAGAATAGAATATGTAGAAAGAATTTTTAGAATTTCTTTATTTTTCCTTATCAGTTGCCATATCTTTATTATTTATTATTTATTTTGCTCAGAAAAATTATTCATTTTTTTATAAAGTATCAATAAAAAAATATAAAAAAAATAACATATGTATAATAAAAAAATATTGAAAATAAATTATGAATTATTTTAATATATTCTTTATTAATATTGGAAATTTATAGTAGAAAATTAGAAGAATATTGGAAGGATAGAATGATAGAAATTTCTTTATAATTACCTCAGGCATAAGAAGAGAAGCAGTTTGTTGTCTCAACAATTTCTGACGATCAGCATTTATTAAAGCCCTTCTTTCCTTATCTTCAAATAGCCTTTGCTCATATGATCTAATCTATAAAAGAAAAAAATTCGGAATTTTACATTTTCAAAAGAATTTCTGGAAGAAAGAAGCACTGGAATGTTTAGCACTGGAATGCTTCCCATAGAATGTCATATGTTCTTACCTTATAACCTCAAAATTAAATGATAAATTTTGAGCCAAATCCGATGGAATGCGATTAATGAAAGAATTAAAATGAACTATAAAATAAGAGTATAAAATATATATATATATATATAAAATATCCATAAAATATATTTTTCAAAGGGATACCAAAAATTTTTAGAGAAAAAATTAGTCCATATGCACGTAAAAATCTTAGAAAAAACTTGTTTGGCACTTGCAATGATTTTTTAAAATCTGTTCGAAAAATTTATTGAGCGTTTTAGAAAACCTGTCATAACGAAAAACTTATTAGTGAACTTATATAAATCAGTATTCGATTCTTAACTTTTAATATTACTTCCTTAATATCAATGGTTGTGATAATATCAACCATTGCCTGAAGTCATCACCTCAGTCTAAGTCAATCCTCAATGAAATTCAATGGCTATAACCATATCATATTCAGTGACTGTAGTCATATCACTTTTCTATGAAATCACTTCCCCGAACCGAAAATAAAAGAAAAACGAGTACATGGAATTTTAGAAATGTTCTTTTATTCTTTTTCTTATTCTTTTATTGATAATCCATTTATTTTTTTTGTGGCAAAAATTTTTTTTCACAATTTTTGAAATAAATTGCCGTTCAACAATGAATGTAGACTATAAATTATTCGTATAAAACAGTATACTTTAAAATGAATTAAAAAGCTCTTAATGAATTTGTGCATTCCGAAAAAAATGTATTGTAATTTATGCCAGAGAGAAAACAAACTTTCTTTAACTAGTTTTTGTTTATATCCAACTTTACTTCGAGACTGTGTTATTTTAGAGAGACTGCCTAATTTATTGCAAAAATTCACCTGGCTTGACCTATCTCGTGACTCATTTTCGTTGCATGGAATTGCAACTGATTGAGATATGTGGTGATTAGTTGAATATCGCTTTTCTTTATCCTATATAAATTATTCTAGATTTATTTATAAAGAAAAAGATTTTATATCGTTTATAAAATTACCAGGCTAAAAAATAAGGAGATGAATCGCAATTTCTGTTCAAAATTTCATTAGAACAATACAAAATGTATTTGGCTGTATTCCATAATGTTTCCAGATTCTTGTGGCTTTAAATGAGACTAAGAACTACACGTTCCAGTCTTTTGGCGGGATTAGCCATTAGAACTGAAAGGAGTTGTTTTCATATTCTTTCTTTTTATCCCCAAATGATGCTCAGACGAGAGCGTCATCTATAAACCTCATCCTAATAGTCAGTGGTGCCAGAAAAGCCAAAAATAATAAGCGCTGTCTACATTTGCATGATGTACTGTTTGTTGTCTATAGATTTTGATATCTTCATTTCGATAGCAATTTCTCGTTTCATTATCAATTTCTGTCATATCAATATAATCATATCTTTCCGGATTCCACGATCTCGACAATAAATGATCTCTGCTATAGATTTGACGAGGACTATTTCGTGGCAAAGGTGAAGAATTCTAAAAATTTTTCAAAATTTTAATTAAAGAATTTCCTTAAAAAATGAACCCTTTAATTTTGATAACTTGTTCTTATTGATTTTAACACAATTAGCTGTTATCCATGCTTTAAATTAATTTTTCGAAACTTTTTTCGCCTTTTGGTTTCGTCAGCAAATAATGCATCACACAAAATCGCTTTTTCCACTTTGCTTCGCCATTAGCCATTTATCATCCCTCTAAGCTAACCAAATCAACAATCGTCCCAAAATTTTGCTTCAGCAAAGCAATAAACAATTGTCATTTACCTGTTTTTTTGGTGGATATGGTGAAGCAATTGCAGCGCTCCTTAAGAACAGTGAAATTCGTCGATCTTTTAATTGCCTATTTTCTTCCTAAAATTTATTGTCACATGAATTATATGATCTCATGACGCTGTTTTTATCAAATTTCATTTGGTTTTTTTTTCCAACAGAATGCTAACGAGAACAGTAATACACTGAAACTAACTGATACTGATATATAATATTTTTTAATTTCATTCAATTCAAATTCAATCACTATTTATTAGTATTTTGAATAAAATTTAAATGGTAAAAAATTATTAATTGCAATACGAAGTCTGTTTAATAATTTACTTAATAAAAAACGGCAAGCAAAAATTAAAAAATCATAATTGCAGAAATATCGAAAATGCTAATTCGCTTGCATTACAAAATGCAATATAAATAATTTAAACTTTATATAAATGTTTAGTTAAAATATATATAAATATGTAAAATATGGATAAAACATTTTATCAAATTGGCTTTTTTTACATATTTTTTATTTTTCGCTTTTTTTCCCACTTTCCTTTTGGCTATGAAATAATTCATTTCTTTGAGAATAATATATTTAAAAATAAATAGTAAAAATTTAATGGCAATTTTATGAAAGCAATTTCTGTCGCTTTCTAAAGCTTTTGCGTCATCACAATGATGAAAATAATTTTTTTCCCACTAATCCTTATTCACGATGATTTGTCGATAATTTTTGACAGTTTCCTGCCAGAAAATTAATAAATTATTGAATCAAAAACAGTTTTTCTTTTCTAATGCCAATTTTTTAATGGAAAATTCCATAAATCAAATAAAATAATGAAAATGAAAATTTAAAGCGAATTCATTTTAAGAACAATTTGTATGTTACAGTATGTCACACCTTGGATTTTTATAAATTTTACGTAATAATAAAAATTATTATAATAAAGAAGCGCCTGAATGAATGAAAGCCGTCATTGATTCCTTCTCCAATCGGAATACCATTAAATCACTGCAACCACCCAATGATTTGGTGGGTGGAATAGCGAACAGGAATTTTTCAAAAATGCGTGTTACCACTCGCTCTTATGCACATTTCGCTGCGTGGTAGCTTACGAGCGAATGGCGAATATTGTTGCTTATAAAGATATTACAATAGTTATGGGAAAATGGATGTTTTCAAGCGATACAAATATCTTTCAATAATAAAAAAAAATTTTTTTTAAAATTTTAGAAAGAAATTCTCTTCGACTTGAAGAAAAAATCTAATCTTATCAAAAATAAAATCTCAAAAAAAAGTTGGCAAAAAAAGTTTGTGAAAAGCGCATTAAGAATTTGACATAGTTTTGCGATTATTCGCTAAATCAAATTTTTTTCCTCTATTTTTGTTTTTATTATTTTGCTTTATTACTTATTTATTAGTCTAAATTTTTCGAAAATTTTAATTCAATTTTTATTCAATCGGAAAATTCCATATGATTTTTTTTTTTCAAAACTTTTGAAGTATTTTGATAGATCCATTTGGTCGAATGTTGAATTCAGAATAAATAAGAATAAAATTCTATTTAACTAATTTTAAAATCAATCTAAACATCAATCTAAACATCTATCGCACTTTTCCTATGAAAGTGAGCAAATTTAAAGGTATTTAAATATTTAACTCCTGAAAAATGAAACATTTTAACAACAACTTTAGCGCTGTAATTTTAATTTAGTTAGGTGATTTAAAGTAAATAACTAATTATTTTTTATTATATTTTTAGCTCACTTAGGTTTTTTAATGAATTTTTTCTAGGTTATCCTTAAAAGAAATGCATAAATCAAATTTAATATTTATATTTGCTATAAGTTAAGAAATGACTTCTACGATCGTGAAAATTAAATAAATATATAGCGATGATAAACAAATATTGGTAAATACACTCTGATAAGAAGCAAAGTATCGACAGATAATTGATAAATCAAGAAATCAATAAGGTGATTTGTAGCGAATTATTAAGAGTGAATATTGTAGCAAGAAAAAGAAATATTTTCTTTTGAATTTCAATAATTACGATATTAAAGATGATAAAAAATCGTTTTTTGACGATGATAAGTTTTTTATTTTAAATAAATTTCAATATTCATTCACTTCCACATTTGCGTAAAATAGATAAGCAGTTGGTTTTTATCACTTCTGGTTAAAACTCCATTGGCTAATAGCGCGATGAGAATTTTTTGCTTGCGAGCAATAAAAGTGCACCTGCTTCGCCAAAACATTTTTTTAAAATGCTAACTAGATTTTTTAATGACGGATTTGTTCTTATCGGAAGCAGAATCCTAATACTGACGCTCGAAGTGATAATCTGAGCAATAACCATTGCCTCTTCCCATTTCGCTTCATAAACTGCTTAATATTGTTATTCGTACGAAATATTTTAAAAAATTTCAAAATATTTCTCGCTTTAATTGATTTTAATTATTTCGCATCTTTTACTCATTAATCATGTCTCGAGGCTATCATTTCCGAATAAATTTTAGAAGAAAATTTTAATTTTCGAATATTTTCCGATTTTTTTCCAAATTTCCAAAAGTTAGCAATACAAAATTTATTTTCATCTATTGTAATTTGATGCTTTTCTCTTAAAAATTTTGCTAAGAAATACGATAAAAATGTTATAAGATGGCTAAAATATAAAACATCAATGAATGCTATAAACGTTTTGACTATTAACGTTTTACTATTTACTATTTTTTTAATATTAGAATAACTTTCGATGCGTGAATTTTGTATTTTATCGGTATAAATAATTCTGCAAAAATGTGTCAATAAGAAATAAAATAGTTGATAGCGAAAAGTTTTACCTTTGATTTTTGTTCTGCCCTACGCCAAAATTTTGCAAAATTTTAAATTATGAAAGCTTCTCATTGCAAAATATTTAATAAAATAATTAATACTGAATAAAGATCCACGATTCAATGAATATATGAATATAAGATATTAAGGGATTAATTAAATAGCTGAATTAGGTTCAAAATCAGTTGATAGAAATAAAGGAATCAATAAAAAGTAAATAAGAAATAAAGTAATTAAGTAATTGAAATACAAAAGAAAAAAATTGCTCAACTCCGAAATTATGGCTGAGTGGATAAAAGTTGCCAATAAAAATCGAGGCTTCGGTTCGAAATCGGATCACCGCGTTTCGCCAGATGGCATTTTCGCTCAAAGGAAAAAGCAAAGGAGAGTCCATGTCTTAGTGAATTCGGAGTGATTTTGAGGTAACCACAGTAAGCCTGTCCAAAAATCCGGATGACATCTGTGATTCTATCACCAAGGAATTCTCTGGCAAAATTGTTGAGTCCAGCAAGCCAATAGAGTGAATCTAATGGAGATGCACTTATAAATAAAATTTAGTGGAGAATTAAATAATACTGTACAATTATTTTTTGGAAGTTTATTAGAAATTTTTTTCTATAGTTTTTTCTATAGTTTTTTATAATTTTCATAACTTTATTTATTTACACTTATTTTTATTCATTTATTAAATTAAAGTAACTTCATTTTAACTGTAAAAATTAAAAATTTTGATTAAATTATCGAATAAAATTAATATTTATGATGAAAAAATTATTTCATTTTATATTTTTATTTGCTGATAAAATGGTATATATTATCGACTGCTTTTTTATCAATTAGAAACTAATTTTTTTTTTCGAATCTATTTGAA